TGCCCTTTCTCATCAACAAACTCTGATTCCAACCAAAAATGATTATAGATGCCTCGTGTATTTCTCAAAGTCTTCAAAAATACTTGATATTCTTTCACACTTCTCCATTCACTTTGGTGTTCATAAGTTGCATCAAATCTGCACTCATCTGTTACATCAAATATGCTCATTCTATTCTTTTCAGGATCAGGACAGGCACGAAGATAATCCAACTACTTTCTCTGCTTTCTTCCCTCTCCCTCTATCCTACGTCAGCCTTCACTCTTATCAGCGTTTACTCACACACATACACTCCACTCATGCACACACAACACTTTCTCTTTGTTAGTCACACACACGCACAAATCAAATCAACATACAGGTTCCCACTCTTTCTCATGTGCACACACACGCATTCAGGCACACATATGCATGCTCTCTCTCACTCATATACACACACGCACACACAGGCTCCTCACTTGCACACACACTCAAGGCCTTCACTTCCACACTTTTTGCTACTCTTTTCGCTACATTCACACAGATCGAAGAGAAAAACACCAAGCAGCTTTTGGTCCCCTTCTCTTTCTTTAGGAATGAAAAATCAATCAGTTCTTTATCTTTTTCTTTATCAATAATTCAGTTTCACAATTTGGATCACAACGTCGGCAACTTGGACGGTGTCCAAACAGCCGACAGAGCCAATTTCTTGGAATACTTTTTGTTTTTTCAACTCTTACAATTCTCTCAATAAAATCTTTATTGTTCATTTAGTGTATTTGTCTTTAATTGTATTGCTTTTTCATTCCAGTTAAATCACAGAGCATTTACATAAAACATATATGTCACACACACATTCAGCTTCCCACACAGCGCAAAGCAACCACCACAGTTAACACAGTTAATCAAACATTCAATGCTTCAATGTTTCCAACGCTTTGACGCACATACAAATATTTTTTACAACATTTACAACATATACAAAGACTAACAGTCTAACTCTACTTAGTCTGCAGACACCTGATCACACAGCCCTTCCCTCATAAGTACCCTCAAGGCCACGCTCTACTTTCTCTGAGCGGCTCCTCAATTCCTGGGCTTACTCACTTTAGGAAGTCTCCGAACAGGTTTTTGTGCCCCTTCTCGGCTGGCACTATGCCCCTTCTCGGCTGGCACTGTGTACACAAAAACTTAATACTCTGATCAAAGCAACCCCTCCCTCATAAGCACCCCTCAAAGCCACGCTCCACCGTCTGAGCGGCTCTTTGATTCTTGGGCTTGCTTATTTTGGGAAGTCTCTGAACAGGTTTTTGTGCCTTTTGTGCCCTGGCACTATGCCCCTTCTCGGCTGGCACTGTGTACACAAAAACTTAATACTCTGATCAAACTGATCAAAGCCTCATAAGCACCCCTCAAGGCCACGCTCCACTTTCTCTGAGCTGCTCCCTGATTCCTGGGCTTACTTATTTTGAGAGGTCTTGACCCAGTATATGTGCCCCTTCACGGCTGGCACAGCACGGTGCTCTTCTTATATACAACTTATATACAAAAGCTTTCTACTAGTCTAAAGCATGTGAATCTTTTGACATCTGGAACCCCTCAACTCCACTTTTACTTTACTTAATTTAGTTCAAATTCAATATCTTAGATTCATTTATTGGTGAAGCCCTGTCTCAGATTACCATCACAGGTGTGACCTAGTCAACCACACAAACAGTCTTATTTCCAATTTAAGCAAAATATTGCCTACCTCGTTATTTCGGGGCCCCTTTTAGAGATCTGTTTGTATAGCCGTCCAGGTACCCCACCCACGATGGCCCTCACGGACGTTGGGCCTCAAGCCAATCCTGTTCGTGACGCCAATCTGTTGTGGATTTTTCTTGGGTGCGGCCAATGAAGTGGAGAAGCAGAGTTCCAGATGTCAAAAAATAAGACTTTATTTAACAAAGAAACAAAGCCGGGAAGACAGTCACAGCATTCCAAATCATTCCAAAGTCTCTGTTTGTCAGCTTATATTATATACCCTTTGTTCTCTCCAAATTTGGTCATTTTCTGTTTTTTCTTTGTTCCGGTTATTTTTTATTGGTTATAGATACCTGATTTGCCACAATTGTTTCCAAACCTTTTGGCCTTGTTTTTTAATGGTGGAATGTGGTCCGATCAGCCATTTAGCTTTTATTTCGCCACCTTCTATTGGTTGGTAGTGGCCACATGAGGAGGTGTGCGTCAAATCCATCCACCTGCTCCTGATAATATTAGATTATTTCATGTTTACGTCTACTGTCTACTGAAAGGTCCATTGTCTAATGAAAAGACCATTATACGTGTTCCTGATAATATTAGATTATTTCAAGTTCACTGGTGTACTGTCTAATGAAAGGTCCACTGTCTAATGAAAAGACCATTATACGTGTTCCTGATAATATTAGATTATTTCAAGTTCACTGGTGTACTGTCTAATGAAAGGTCCACTGTCTAATGAAAAGACCATTATACGTTCATCATTCCCCATCACTACATCCAGGGTTAACATAATTCAGCATATTAATTTATATACTGATTACTTTCATTTTCACATTACTTTCATTTTCACATAACGTTCAATAAAATTACACAATATATTCCCCCCTCTGAGGCTTCACCAAGCCTCACCGCTAAACCCTTTGCCTAGAGTGCAACACCATAAATCCACCCATCCTTCTATCCTTCTATGAACCAATAAAGGTCCACCATTACTTTTTACCAAATGGTTTCTTTATGCTGCTGCACTCCAGAGGAAGTCAGATCCAAACATCTCTCCTCACTATTGACCAGAGAAGAGTAAAAGAATCTACTTCCCTATCTATACATTCTTGGGGGTCAAAAAATCAATAATATGTGTCAATGCACGTGCTCATGAGATGTCCAAGCCTTGCCCATGGTTGTCATGGTTATGTAGTATATATGAATGATTAGTTAACTGATTAAAACAAACAAAATGATGTAATAAATGATGCACTGGTCTGTCCCTCGTAGCCAGAGGAACTCCAAGCATTGCCGGTAGCTTGGAGCGCTGTCTGGTGCTGCTGTCCTTCGTTGCCAGAGGAGCTCTCAGGCAAGCTCCCTTGCCCTCCAGCGCTATCTGGTGTTGGAGTAGATGGTGGGTTTTTAAACCTCCAGTTGAATCTACTCGTGTTGCTAAGCACTGAGGTGCTCGTCGATCCTTTCTTCTTTACATACTTTGATGATTTTTCCAGTGTTTAAGAACAAACAAATGATATACTGATAATGAATTTAAATGATGAAAATAAGTAATCTTTCTTTATCGTCCCCTTTGTCTGGTTGCATTGCCTCGTAACACGGACAATGACCTGCTTAAAACCTTTAACATTCCCTTTTCTTTTCCAAAAATAATCACTTTTTACATTTGATTTATTTAGAAGCTTTAAAATAAATGATTTCAAAACATATGATAAACGATTTCACAAATTAATGACTTTAAGGATTAAAATGACTTCAGGAAGGAGCATATGCCAAAACAAAATAACAACCTCTAACTTCCTGCCTACTCTATCCCCATATTCTAATACTACTACATAATAAGAAAAGAAAATACAAAAATAACAAAATAGAAAAACAAAAGGCACTCCTTCCCTACTATTCTGTTGTTATTTCAGAAAGGTGTTACTCAAAGTCGTCCAGCTCATCCAATCCAGGTCCCACTGTATACATGTTGGTACATCCAATATCAACTCCAGCTGGCTTTACCGATACGTTAATCATCTGTTTGGCTGCAGCATTGGCCAGCATTGATCTGATGAAAGGCACAATACAACAAAACAACAAAAGAAACACAACAACAGCAATGCCAACTATGATGCCCACTCTAGTTAACCATTGTCCCCAAGACCCAAAAAATGAATTAAACCAATCCCAATTTTGCATGTCTGCTCCAGCGTTTTTGGTCACTTCTTCTCTCAGGTTTTTCAGTTTCTCCATAGCTTTGGTGAATGATCCATCTGGGGCTGTATTATTTGGAATATAAGTACAACAGTCAGAACCAAACATTACACACACTCCTCCTTTTTCTGCTAGGAGCCAATTCAGTGCCTGTCTATTCTGCCATGTCATTTTACTTGTGGGACCCAATTGTTGTCCCAGGGCATCTAAGGCATCATCAGTATAATTGATGAATCTCTGCTGATTATAGTAAATATAATTTATCCATTCTAAGTTCTTATTTGGGGTTATCCATACAAATATAGACTCAAATCCAGACTTTATTTCATTTCTTGCTTTATATTTCTCTGGTATTCCCCTTGGCTGACCAATCACATCCAAGTATACATTTGGGTCTGCTTCATAGGCTCTTTTGACTCTATGTCTTTTTAGTGGGGTCTGCTTAATCTCATTTAATTCTCCTTCAATCACTGTCACCCCTTGTAACAGTCTTACTCTGGCACATATGCCTTTCCAGCCTTTTGGCAGTGTGGCCCATAATCTTCTTCCCCCACATACCCAGTAGTAATCTGCCACTGCCTCTGATTGTTCTTCCATGCTACTAATTAGAGGAAAACTAATGGTTGCTTCTGTACAGTTATCTTTAATCGTTATGATTGTCATGTTTATCTTTACAGTGGCTGTAGCATATATTAAACTAAATGACTTGAGTACTCCTGAAGCATAATACATATCTTGATCCAGATGCCAAATTATAGCACAATTCCCACTGAATTTTCCCAGGTCATGTTTCCCTTTTGATTTGTTAAAACACTCATATTCGAGTGTTCGATCAATTACATAAGCTACAGGAGTTTCTCTTTTCCTAATGTCAATTCTAATATCCATTCGTTGACATTCATCCCCCCACCCTGGTTGTTTGTAGAATTTATGGAAATCTTTGTTCCCTAACATAGTCAAACATTCTGCTGGGCAATAGGAATACATTCTTCCCGTGATATTTTCACAGTATCGGGAGTAAAATCTACCACAATGTAAATAATATTGTAATGGTATGAAACCCGCTGGATTTACTGTTGTGCATCTCTTAATTGTAATGTCTGGGAAGGTCAGCAATGTTGAGTAAGCTATACATCTAGAAGGAGTCAAGACAAACTTCCCTTGTTCTATCAGTTCTACTACTTTATGGTGAGTGTAGAGTACAACTGGGTACCCCATAGTTATTGTGGAGGCCTTTTCATATGATACCTAATGGTCAAAAGCAATAGCAAAAGTAATAGGTCAATATTATTAAATTGCAGACAAAGATTTTGAATAGCTAGGCTGGCTTGTACACTATATTGCCAAAAGTATTGGGACACCACTTTCTAATGAACAAGTTTGACTACTTTAGTATTTTCTAATTTTTAGTAAAAATAAATAAATAAATAAATAAAGCATATAATGCTATTCTAGGGAATTGTGTGCTTCTAATTTTATACCAACAGTTTGAACAGGACCATTTTCTATTCTAACACAACAATGCCTGTGTGGTAGGTGTAGCGAAATCCACTTTGCCTATGTGATTGGTGCATTCGCTCATGGGCTGCCCTATCCGCAGCCAGTGGGAGGGTATATAGGCTGTTTGGCTTGACTGAATGGGGTCTCGATTTCGTTTGTTGCTTTGTGTCATCTTTAGTTGACAATCAGAGCAGCACGCAAACGAGGTTCGGTGGCTGGCATTTTGAGGGAGGTTGCCCTTCAGCAGGTAAGCTTTAAACCTTTACGGTTGCATTTACCAGTACTCGCTCGTATTGAATGGGTATTGTGTATTGTTTACAGTTAGCGGGTCGGGCTAGACTGGTTAGTACAGCTGCTACAGAGGCTTGTCTGTCTTATTTGGCAGCCGTGTCTCCCCGGCATAAACACTGTTTCCAGATCAGTGTAAACTAAATGAGCAACTAACATGTACGCTTATCTGCTTGCCTGAGTTGGAGAACTTTTCTTTTCACGGTAGGAGCATTTCTTGAAATTGAGAATTGGGCTTTTTTTTTTTTAGAGATTATAGGGTTTGCTTTTTAATAATTGCTCTGTTCATTTTGTAATGCAGACCGTCGGGGTCGTATCCTGGGGCGATTATAGCTCTGTGGTGGCGACGCAGGAATCACTCTCCGGAGACGCTGTTGCTTTTATTTAATAAAGTATTTTAAATTTCTTTTGTGTGCGTGTGTGTGGTGATGCATTGAGGTTTATGTAGAGTGTGTGTGGTTTGCCTTTTGTGTGGTGAGTCGTTGGTTTATTAATTACATAAATTGTATTCTTTGGTGTGGTTGTCTTGAATTGTGGATTATTTTCTTTCTTTTGATGATTGTACTGTAATTTAATCGGAGTTCATTTTCCTTTTCCCTCATTGATTTTCTTACATTCTAGTATTTTGTAGTAGTTCATTTGTAGTGTTTCTTATCTTTTCGTTTTTGCATTAGTAGTTTTGTTTTGTTTTTTTATTTTTATTTATTATTTGTGTTTCGTGTATTTGAGTTATTTTGTGGGGTCGTACAAGTATAGGATGACTTAATTTTCCTTTGAACTAATTTTGTAAGTTACTTTATTTTTCTTATAACCCTGTTTCTTCTGCATCCTGTGTAACATTTTGTTTTCTGTGCAGGAGCTGAGTGCCTAAGGCAGGGGTGGATTTCTGGTGGCGGTCCTCTTGTCACGAGTGTTGTGTGAAGTGTGGAGGAGTGGAGTGTGTTTGCTGTGTGAGTGCACAGGTATAAGGGGAGGTGACTTGCTGTGGAGGCTGTATTATGCCAACTTAACCGTATTCCCTGCTGGTAAGCCTCGGCTCCTGCACCAGGACACTTATGTGTTGACGACCCTGGTTAACTTTTCTTACTGCATCTCAATAAGTTTGTGTTTTGTCTTGTCTCGATGGGGCATTTTTGGTCTTTGTATTTTCAACTGTCTTTAATAAAATTTGTACCTTTTTATATCTACGTCTCCTGCCTACTGCTAGTGAACTAACCTGTGTGCTTTTAGAAAGTACTTTATTTGGTATTGGTCCCTGGGCCATACCCAGGGTGGCGTAGTCGCTTGGTATTAATAAGAACTCTAACCCTCCCCCTGCCACACCTGTATAAAAAAAATTTAAAAAAAAGATTGATTCAGTCAGTGTGGAAGAACTTGACTGGTCAATAAAGCCAAGTCCTAATCCCAGCTGAACACCTCTGGTGTGACTTTAAATGCAGACCTTGAGCCAAAAACTCATCACCAAACACCAGTGACTTGTACATACATATGGACAAATGTATTGGGACACCCCCTTCTTTAGAACAGAAAAAGGCACTTCCAAAACTGTGGCATCAAAGATGGAAACATAATTCATGTATTTAAAAATTGTATTTCCATGGGCAATATAGTGTATGTTTGGTGTGGTAGGGGGCCCAACCTCATATTCTTTCATAGGGCCCAAAATTGCTAGCGGCACCCCTGTTCACAACCCCTCCTCTTTCTCTCACATTTGTTCTCACATTTTACTGTCACATCTTACTTTCAGAGTTACTTCTAACACATGAAACACCCTTGAAAATGTAGCCTCATGATATCACAAGCTGTGTTTATTATACAGCATTATGCTGCAAAAAGCATTAATAATAATAAATGATTACATTTATTAAAATAATAATAAATAATACATTAATAAATGTATTATGTATTTAGGTACAGTATGGTAAAAAAGAGAGTGATAAATGTGGTAAAAAGACATTTAGAAATGTCTTTGGTCATTTCAAGCAAACTTTGGCCTGTGTTTGTATTATGGATGCTTCATAACACTGTGCACAGATGTCAGTGGATGTGCTTAGAAAGGACATCGACTCAAACAAAAACCAACAGTACTGTTGATTAAGTCAACAACATATTGAAATATATTTCCAGTTGACAAAAATTGACATGACCTACGACCTTAAGTCAGTACAATTAACTGAACAGACTGCATAGCTTTCTATTCACAGTTCACCTGCTCACTTCATTTCAGTTCACTGCTCACTACTCCCTCATGTCGAAGTTAATTTGACTTGACAAAATGGGTTCATTTTGAATCTGAACACCTTGCAAAGTCATCAAACAAAAGTTGAGTATATTATATGTTTACATAATACATTGTGTGTGTAACGGGGCTGGCGAGACGAGAGGCGTGCGGATCCATGTGCAAACTTTTATAAATAAACATAGTCAAAAAACACAGGCAGGGTCGAAAAACAGCAAACAGGTATGGCACAGGCAAGACAAAGAATATTCCTAGGGCTAGCGTGGGTCTTCGATCGGTGAACAGTATCCAGAGGGCTAGACAAGAGGGGTAATTCAATAAACACAGGCAGAAGGTCAGGAAACAGACAACAAGGCAACACGAAGTGGCTAGACTAAGACTAGAACTAGAACTGGGAACTAGGAATGGCTCCGTAATGCAGCTATCGCTTGGAGTCACAAAGTCATATATAAAAGACTTAAACTGAATAATAAATGTCTGTATTGATTTTTATACAATACTATACTTTTATACTATACAATACAAGAGACTAAACAGAAACACGGAATGGCTCAGTAAAGCAGCTAACACTAGGAGAGTGATGAATGCAGAACAATACAAGAGACTAAACAGAAACACGGAATGGCTCGGTAAAGCAGCTAACACTAGGAGAGTGATAAATGCAGAACAATACTCCGCAACTTGAGCAGGATCTGACTGGGTGTTATATAATGTGTGTGATAGCTTTCAGGTGAGTGTGTGATTGGTTACAGCTGTGTGCAATCAGTGCAATGGATGATGGGAAATGCAGTCCAGGGTGATGTGTAACAGTCTGTGTGGTGTGAGAGTCAATGTAATGGGAGAGCGACCTCTGTGGACCGGATTCGTGACAGAGCTGTGGGCTGTGACAGACAGTTCACAATCAACCCCCATGGCTGGTTCAGAACAGGACGAGAGTTCAGAGATGGCCTCCTCGGCCGGTTCAGAGCAGGATAAAAGTTCATAGATGGCCTCCGTAGCCTTGACAGGACAGGCAGAGAGTTCACAGACAGCCTCCATAACCGTGACAGGACAGGCAAAAAGTTCACAGATGGCCTCCATAGCCGTGACAGGAAAGGACGAGGATGCGCAGACGGCCTCCATAGCCGTGACAGGACAGGCAAAGAGTTCACAGACGGATACCACTGACACCTCTGGAGGTTCTGCAGTAGTAACAGCCACCTCTGGGTAGAGTTCATTAACTTCACAGACGGCCTCCATAGCCGTGACAGGACAAAGAGGAAGTTCACAGGTGGATACTACTGACACCTCTGGAGGTTCTGCAGCAGATGCCGCCACCTCTGGAGGTTCTACAGTAGTAACATCAGGAAACAGGTAGAGTTCATTAACATTCTCCTTAGCTGGACAGGTACAGCGTTCATCAACGGTTCCTTTGACCGCGACATGACAGGCTGAAAGGGCATTGCTGGGCACCACCACCGTGCAAGGAGCTGAAGCGAGCACTGCCACCTCGGGAGGTTCTGCAGCACACGCCTCCACCTCTGGAGGCGCAATAGCCTCTGGGGAAACAGCAGCAAACTCCAGTACCTTGGGAGGTTCTGCAGCATCAGCCGCCACCTCTGGAAACATCATAGTAGGCGCCGCTGTTTCAAGAGTCTCAGTGGTGGTGTATGCAGCCCAAACACTCCATAAAGCGATCCCCATTATGGAAAGCACTACAGACAGGGGAAATAGTTCAGGAACTGAAGGGCTTGAGAGTGCTGGTTTAGGGATACCAGCTGCATGTGCCGACACCAGCGGTGGGTCCTCCACGCTGGATGCCAGTCTGGGATACTGAAGA